TATTTTATAACAATAATTAATTTCAGTTTATTCTTCTACGGCGTCCGTACAATAATTAACAACGACTCATTAAAAAAAATGAATATGCGATTTCTAGTGATTTTAAAACCACAAAATAAAAATGAAGGCATTGAGATTGACAAAATTGCTTTCCACAAAATATAGAGAAACATTTGCCAACTCGAGCATTTATGCAGACTCGAATATTTGGATATAATTAAAAAATTTGTGGGAAATCGAATTGTTGTTGGCATAGTTTTGACCTCCTAGGTATTTAAGAAAAAGTATTTTGGAAATTTTTATTTAAAGTTTGATTTCATCTAGCCATACAGATTTATTCAAATTTTTCTTTTGATGATTTAAAGTGTGAAAACTTTAAACCTATCAAATATTTATACTATATACATAAAAACGATGTACCATAGAAGACATACATAATACGGAGTGTCGGTATATATATATTGAAGTGGTGTGAGACTAGGTTCTAAGAGCATCACCATCCTTGATACAAAGAGAGTATCAGTTGAATAAACAAATATTAAAAACACATTCTCTTCTTTTTATTCAACTTTATACCTTCTCTTTCATTCTTTTATTCAACTTTTATTAATTTTATACTCTCTTTAAATATAAAATTATTAAAAACATTTGATACATTCTTTCTTTCTCTCTTCAAAAATATCAAAAGTATCAACTATTTGATACCCTCTCTCCAAAAATATCAACTATCTCTTCTCTTTACTCAAATTTTATTAATTTTATATTTCAATACACCCCACTATTTCAACCAAAAACACTCTCTTTCTTCTTTTAACTCAAATTTTAATAATTTTATATTTAATGATACCCACATTGTATCACCAATACTCATGCTCTAAGAGCATGTCCATTGGTAGTTTTAAGAGGGGTTCTTAAAATATAAAATTATTAAAATTTGAGTAAAATGAAGAAAGAGAGTGTTTTTGTGGGGTGTATTGAAATATAAATTAATAAAATTTGAGTAAAAGAGGAGATAGTTGGTGTGTTTAAATATAAAATTAATAAAAATTGAGTAAAAGTTAAGAACCGGTTCTTAAAGTTGAACTTTAAAAATCGGTTCTTAAAAGAAAGAGGATGTGTTTAAATATAAAATTAATAAAAATTGAGTAA